GTATTTTGCAAAATACTGGAATTCAATCTGGAACTTGTTTTTTATTATTATAAACATTGCCCTCCTACTGGATTTATAATTTAAAATAATTAAAATCAGACTATCAGCATTACACAGAGAGGCAGCACCAAGTTGAAGTTTCAGCACCCTCTGCTGCTAAAATGAGAGCTGTGCAACTTTGGAACCTTTTACACTGCTGGATTATAAGTATTTACCTTAAAATTACTGGAGACTAATACAATAAACAAGATCTTTAGCCAAGTGACCCTGAATATTGTTGAGCAAATTAAAGTAATTGGAAGAGTTGGTTTTTTTTTCTTAATTCAGATTGACTGTAAAATGGAAGCAAGTGGAGACAATGAAATGGAGCTGATGTACCAAGACATTATGGATTTTACAAAAGATAGAGCTCTCTCTCCCAGAATCTTAATGCTTCTAAAAAGACAGAGAAATAAGTGGTTTAAGGACGACATAGTCTGAAGACTTAACTTAGGCAGGGGGAACCTGTAACATCTCAAAAGTTGCTGAGTGAGATCTCTCATCTTTGTCCACACAACCAGAGGCTGCTGATTGTTGGATGTCAGCCACATCTTGAGAACCAAAGGTTTCTCATTCTGACTGAACTGCTAACTAGGATATAATCTCTGAACAAATAAGAATAGCAATACTAATTTATTTGTTTTTCTTGTTTTCCACAGACATTTTAAAATCAGAATGTTTTCAGAAATATCATTTTGCATTTTTCTGTAGGCTGGTTTGAAAATAATTTAAATTACATGTACTGCACAAGACACTGCTTACCTGAATAACATTACCATACTGGATAACTGTACCAAGCAGCTTTTTATTTTCTGTCTCATTCTGCTTTTTTTCCAAATCTGCAGCATGCTAAGTTTAATAAACAAACAAAAGATTTGCGGTTGAGCGAGGATGGGAAAATCTGCAATCAGTTGCTTTTTTAAATGAAAGATGTTACAAACAATACTTCAAGCCCCCTCCCGCCAAAAATCATTGCATGCTTGAATTCAACAACACTTACTGAACTCATGCTTGTAACTCATGACTAACTAAAGCATTCTAAATGTAATTAATCCCCTCAGAATAGGCTAAACTCCAACCAATCCAACTCCATTCCCAAGTATCAAGGCCTCTCTTGCTATTTAACTGTTAAAATTTAACTGTTCCACTTGTAATTCCACTCCTATTTCCAGTTTCTGAAATTCATATTTTCAAATGCCTGCTTTCAGCCATTGGTTGTTTTCCAACCCATGTCGGAAATGCTAGTTCCTTTTATTGATTTTTAGATTTTAATAAATGGTAAAGATAAAGAGAAATAAAGGGAAGAGGAAGAGAAGTACTGATAAAAGGAAGTAGAAAGCAAGGAAACGTGATAGAAAAACATAAAAGGAAACAAAGAAACATGTACTAAAAAAAATCAGACATAGGTGATAAATTTGGGTAAACATTCAGAACAGAAACAGCAGTGAATTTTTTTTCTAAACTTCACTTTCATTCTGAGGTTTAAAAAAACAGGTCATATGTCTATAAGGATAGAACCATTATTACATCCATATTTACTCATATACAACTAAAAAGATAACATTAGAAATGAAATAGCCTATATAAGCATGTGGATTAATCCAACCCATTTTAGACCTCCTTCCAATGAACACAGACATAATTCCAACCCATTTTAGACCTCCTTCCAATGAACACAGACATAATTCCAACCCATT